TTTCATTAGATTAGAAGTACTGTCTCCATTACAAGTATATATCATCCTGCAATATTTACAGGTAGCCTTTTTGTCCTCTTTAAAACTTGCACTCCTTGTGAAGGATTTCCATACTTTACTTCTAGAAATTGTTAAGATAACTGAAGCCAATTCCAATGGATTGCTTGTGTTAGCATTTTCAATATTGATATTGTCATAACTAGTTAAACTGTTACTTTCATTATATACAAACTGTGTGCTATCAAATGAGTTTTTGTATTCTATTTTTAAAAGAAATAAATTAGAAAAAACAAAGAATATAATGAAAGTAATTAAGCAGTAAAATTAAAATATAGCAAAGAAATAGTTAAAAAATTATCAAGAAGAGCAAGTATTGAATTTTTTAAACTTGCTTTTTATATTATTTTTTTTTTTTAAAAAAAAACTATTTTAATTTATTTGATAGTTCGATTTTAATTTCCTAGATAGTTTAATTTAATTTTCTAAATGGTTCGATTAAATAAAATTTAATAATTATATAACAATTTATGTGGACTAAAGCATATTATATTTGAATTATATTGAATTTAATTCAAATCTGATTTGAATCTGATCAGATTTGTTGTGAATCAGATTTGAATCTAATAAATTTTATAAATTTAAAATTTGATTTGATCTGAATCCAATCGAATTAAAAATTTTAAAATTTGATTTGATCCAATTTATATCTGATTCATGAATCAATCAGATTCAAATCAAAATTGTGAACAAAAATATCTTATATTTATGCTTTTCTTGATTGCTATTTGTCCAATAGGTTGAGTTATATTTGATTTATTTTGCTTTTACTGTTCTACCCCTTCCATATAAGCTTTCTTTTGATATGATAATATATCTATTACTATTTTTAAGTCTCTCAGATAAGTATTTTTATGTGAAAACCAGTTAATTTGTTAGTATATATAATTTGTAATTGTTATGTCTATTCAAAATTAACAAAAAAAAAAAAAAAACTCTTTTCTACAGATTCTTTTTTTCTTAAAAATTTCTTTTTAGGCAGTTTTGGGAAATAAGAAGAAAAGTAAATAGAAAGATGAGTTCTCCTAGAGACCGCAGAAGCCCATATACCCAGGGCAGATCCAATTACAATGAGAACATCCTGGCAAAAGGTAACACAAGACTGCTATGCAAAGAAACCTATATGGAAACAACAAAGTCTAACTTAAAAAACAAAGGAAAAGAAAAAGATACTCCTCTAGAAAATTCCAATAATAAACAACCAAGAAACCAGAATACAAGCCAGCCTGCAACCTTAGGTACAGAAACCATTAGAGAAAAGAAAACCAATAAAAAACAACTAACTTGGAGTAATGAAGTGGAAGAAATGATTACACAAGATATACAAACTGATATAAGCATTAAAGATAGAAATACTCAAGAAAATGAACAAAGTAAGGACTCTCCTGTCACATTTACAGTAGCAAGAATAGATGATTCAAATGTAGAAATGGAGGAATCAGGTACCAGCAGCCGGACAAGATCTGAATCCAGTAGGCAATAGCAGGAAGTCTTCTATAGAAATGTACCAATCAATAGAACAGGTAAACCCAGACCAAGATCACCTATTGATCCAATGACAAGATTCAACAGGGAAAGAGTCAAAATAGGTATCAAAGCATCAAAAGTTCCAGGAAAAACTATCAACCAAAAAATAGCACACATTGCAAAAAACTTGAACACACTCACCAGCTTTCTCTCTACCTGCGGCGAAGGAAAAGGAGAAGAAGAACATATCATTGCTATTTTCAGTGATTATCACACTGCAGAAGAAGCATGTAACACTATCTTACTTGAAACGGGTGGGGCTCATATTGAACACATGGCTTTCACATCCCCTAGACCAAATAAGGAAAACAATATCAGGGTATGGGACATTCCCCTGGATACAAAGTTTATAAAGATATAACAGACCTTTGCCAAATTTGGAGAGATCACAAATATCGACATGTCTATACAATAAATGTGACAATCAACAGTCATCACCTATGCAGACAAACAAGTCAAGAAAGATCTAGTTGCCAAATGAAGTATTTTGCTATAACCAGACTCAGTCAGAATTTTTGATGCACAATGAGACATGAATCAAATGAAGATACGTAGAATATTGCAGCCAAGTTAATGAACCTCTTACCCAATACCACTGCCTTTGACCTTAGACTAACATATGAACAAACTGGAGCCAAGACATCCTACATTCCAAGGTATATATCATATAGACACAAGTAGTTTGCAATCATTGGTTTCATAAACCAAGAGGACCTGGAAGTAGCAACAACGCATAATGTTCTTCTTAGAGAAACTCAAACAGAATGGAAACCAATTGACACAAAACTTTGCACTATATGTAAAAGTGCAACAAATTTAGTTGCTCAATGCCCAATCAAAGAAAGAAGAACGCAATGGAACCAGTACAATACTGAACAAACCAATAGATTCGGCAAACTGTACAACAGATTCAGGCCAGTATATACTGAAAGTACAAAGAGAAGGGCAACCACACACAACAACCAGAGAAAGGTTAGGCCAGGCTTCTACATAGCAACAGCAAGGCTACACAAAAAAGTAGAAACACATTCTCATCCTCCTCAAACAATTATGACAGAAGTACTTAACATTCTCAAGACAATAAGACAGGAAATTCAAGAGATAAAAGAAGATATAACAGATCTAGAGGAACATATAGTTAACTTAGAGATATACGATGAAGACTACATGAAACAAATAGATAAAGACACCTCCCCCCTCGATACAGAAGAAAGTTCAGTAACAGAACAGCACTCCAAAATAGTACTCAAGATATTTGTATCCAACAACAATGCATTTAGTCATCCATGCAAAAATTAAACAAACATATGAACCAGATGTACAACACCATACTAAACTCCATCTCAGGAAGCACACCAATCAGAGCACTATATCTACAAAAGAATCAAGCAACTCCAGAAACAATCAAATGACAAACTCTTACAATACATCAAAACAATAAAGGGAAGAAACAAATCACCCAATAACAAATTCAAACCAGAATCTAAATACAAACAATGCAACAACTGGCACAACAATGTCCACAACAACACATAGAGAATACAAACCAATATGGAAAATCGCTATATTCAATATTCAAGGCCTAGTAAAGACATACAAATGTAAGATATGGTTCAATTTCTGTGACACAGCAAACTGGAATATCAATATTACTACAGAGACAAATGGGTTACATCAACAATCAAAAAATTGGCAACACAAGAAATTTCAAACTATATGGATCCACAAAGAAGCACAAACCAGTGGACAAGGTCTAAATATAATGATCAACAAAGACATTGCATAGAATATATAATTACAAAACACTCACAGGTAGACTTATTGCAGCTGACCTGACCTTACCACACAAAGAAAAAATGAGAATAATTGGAGTTTACTTTCCCATACAAGACATGGAAGAAGAAAAGCAAAGGGTACTCAACACCTTAAGCAAATGGATCAAAGAAGCAACAGAAAAAGGATGGCATCTTCTGATAGCAGGGGATATGAATGGAGTTTCAAACCCAGCAATCGACAAACACAGCAGCACAAAGACAACCAAAAAACATAGTCCCTCAGAAAACAAATACAGATCCTCTTGGACAACAACTTGGAAGACATATATAGAATACATAACTCCACAAAGAGAAAATATACCTGAAGTAGAGGAGGAAGCAGTAGTAGAATCGACCAAATTTGGATGAGCCTGCAAGCAACATGGCAATCAAAAATAGTCACTATCCAAGACTTTATTGCACCAGCAATTCTAAGTAATCATATCACAATGATAGCAGAAATAGAAGTATGGAACCTTGATATCTCAAAACAAGCAACCTATCATAAACACAACTATATATATAACTGGCAACTCACCACAACCCAGCAGTGGAAAAAGTTCAGCAAATATATCGAATACAACATACAAACAGAATGCACAAGTAATCAACTTCTGGACTATTGATGGAATCAATTCAGCAACAATATTCAGAAAGCAGCCAAAAAATACATTCCAAAAAAGAAATAATATCAGAGGAAAAGATATCAAGTCAAAGACATAGAAGAAGCACCACTTATAATATAGCTACAGAATTTTCTTACACAAATAAGGCAATAACTAAAAAATAGAGAAGAAGAAAAAATACATCAGCCACTTTAGATCCCAGCGAGCATACAAAAATTAGTTTCAGACTTGATACCCACACTCAAAAAATTAGAAGCTGAATACCTAATATGCACCTAGAAGAATGAATTAAAGTAATCCAAGGCAATATAAAGGTACATAAAACAGTTGCAAAGGCCGTCTCTCATAGAAGACAGCTTATCGCAATAAGGAAAAAAATCCAGATAAAACAAGAGCAGTATGATAACAACAAGCATACCATGATCAACAGTATTCTGGAAAGACCTAGAAGACAAATACAACTAGACAAACTTATCATCCAACAAGGAGAAGACGTGCAGATATTCACAGAACCAGAAAAAATCAAAACTAAAGTAAATAAACACTTCTACAATTGAACATCACACAGAAATACTTAAAATTTAAAATGACATCCTAGGTGGCAGGTCGAATATAGACCCAAACCACACATTAAGCAATACCACTACAAAAGAATACTAGAAGAGATTACAACAGAAGAACTCGTACAAGTAATCAGACAACATAGCACGAAGTTAGCCCCAGGCCCCAATTAGATACCATACCTAGCATACAAATATTTAAAGAATAAAGCAAGAAAAGAACTTAGAGTAATCTTCAACATAATCATCCAACAAGGTAATACACCTAGAGAATTGAGCAGAGGACATATATATTCTATACCCAAGCCTAAAGACTGGGTGCACAACCTGGATATCACTAGACCCATTACACTACTTGATGCGGGAAGGAAAATATTCATCAAAATTATTACAGACAGACTAGCCAAGTGTCTGACTCACAAAGGAATACTATCTGAATTTAATTGGGCTGTACTCCTAGGTAGTAGTACCCAAAACACTATTCATATAATCAGCAGCATCATTGAACATGCAAAAGAAACTAAACAACAAGTCTGGATCTTGAGTCAAGATATGTCAAAAGTATATAACTCTGTCAATTTAGAGATACTACAGTTGGCCCTTCAAAGGATCAAGGTACTAGACACAATAGTCACAATTTTGCTCAGCATATTCCAAAACCATCAAAATGTAGTCATAACATGCCATGGCCTAACAGATGAATATCAAGTAAAAGATGGAATAGATCAAGGAAACATAATATCTCCATTATTGTGGTGCATCTTCTATGACTCACTACTCGCCATGATCAGTCAACAACATAAGGGTTACACAATAAGCTTCAAAGCATGTACAAAATTCAAAACAGAATGGAAGAAAAGGACACCAATATAGCAGTCAACGTATACATGGATGACATAACATGGATAACAAACAACAAAATAGACTTGCAAAGAATCATCCATACAGCAGAAGAATTCTACCATATCAATGACATCAAAATCAATCCCAGTAAGTCACAGCTGATTATCATCAATAGCACTAAGGAAGACCTGGAAAGAGGAGTAATAATGAATAATCAGAAAATACAAGGATACCCTTCCAACACACCAGTTAGAATCCTAGGAATTTGGTATGACAGCTCAGGACGCAAAGACTATCAGAAACACCTAATAAAACAGAAGATCGCCAGTACACGCACATTAATTGGAATAAAAAAGATTACTGACAAATAAGCACAATACATAATCAATCACATACTAATGCCTAGCATAGAATATCTATGCAATGATATAGTTTTAACTAGACAAACTTGCAATTAGCTAATGAGCAAATTGGCAACAACATTCAAACATAAAATAAGTCTCACCAACATAATATCCAACAGCATACTCTACAATAAATATAAATATAATATAATGTACATATGGGACAGACAGTACAACTACACACCAACAATTG